TCATATGCCTGTGATATTAGATAAGGATCTGAGTTGTATAGCCCTTCAATAGGTGTAAGTACCGAGATCATGAGATTGGAAATCGTAGAGTCTCTGGCTCAATTCCTACATGTACCTACATGTAGTATCTGCATGGAGGAGTTGTGTTTTAACAGCAAGTAAAATATTACTACAAGTAACATTTGAGAGGATAAAGAAATACAAGACCTACATGTAGCAGTGTAAAATAATGTGACTGACAGTGACTTACACTAATTTAACATTGAACAGTTTGGCTATTAGTGTTTGAGTTTATAAATAACTCATATTTTCTAAAGCCAGGCTTGTTAGCTTGCTAAAGACACATCTTCCATGATGTAATGAAAGCGAAAGTGATAGAATAATATAATCTTAACAAACCTCAAAACAGAAAGCAAAGAGCATAGATGATAATGGAATACAATGGAATACATTTAGTAGAGTGAATTTGATCATGGTTTGGGTAGTATAATTATATCCATGATTTGATTAATAAGCATCTGAATTATCTGGCCCTTTCATTATTTTCTAGTTGTTCTGGGTGTCAACTACTATGAAAAGTCAAAGTAAATTCATTGCCTACACATGTACTTGGAAGTATAAAAGTAGAACATATTTTTCTAGAACTCAAGTACAATACTTTGAATGTACAATCGTAGCAGTGTCTGACAGTCTGATTATCATAGCAGGAAATGTACCCCACACCATGCACTTATCACCCCTTATGATGCATGCAGTGACATCACAATGCTAGATATAATATCAGCTAATATTACTGACAGAGACCCAGTGTCATCATTTCCTCTCCCTTCACCAAAGGCTTGGAGATGGGATGACACTAAAAACAGGTACATGTACCTTCATGTTGTAACACATACAATGTACATTGAATGATAGTACTTTCATAAAAGAAGGATAAGATGTTTTACTGGGTATTGGTTATTATTATTGCTATCAATCAAATTGACATCTTCATTGAGAAAACCTTGTACCTCTCCCATTTGATCTGTACAAAGAGTTTCTGCAGTATATACATGTACATGTATATATCTTCTGATATTTTCTGTCTCATTGTGAATGCTTGCCAAATATCTGCCCCCCCCCCCCCCATATTAGAAAAAGAAGTGGAACCACTGCAAACATACTGCTCTGAAATTGATGGTATCTGAGCCTGCAGCCCGACCAGGGATATGTAGCTTGATCCCATTGAGGATCTATGGTGGCTTCAGAGAGTGGAGAAGTACTTCCTTGCTGGATATCAGTGACAGATCACGGAGAATTACTGTGATAGCTCCAGACATCCTTCCTTCCTTCCTCAAACTCGCATTTCAAGAAGAAATCATGTGTCTGTAGAGTGTAGTCGGAGGAATGGCTTAGATCTGGAGTTCTTGTGTTTATATCATTTGCAAAGAGCCAGAAAAGCATTAAAGGTAATGCAAAGTTTTGGGAAATTTTGAAAATTGGATGGATAGCAATTCTTTAACATTTTGATATATTTGGATGCCGCTGTGGATGTATTATAAGCACTAGAAAATTTAGCCCCTAAAACACTTCTGCTTTTGAGAAATTGAATAATCAAAGATTTAAAGGTGCACCCTATAAATTTCAATTATTACAAATATCGCTTAAGGACATTCCATGGTAGCTGTGACCATGAAAATCTTAGAATAGGCACTTCTGATAATTTACAAACGGGAATAGCAAATCGGTTGATCGTAGTCAAGAAACATTGTATTAAAGCTAAAGTAATATCAGTCTTGAGGGGGAGCTTTACAACATAAAAAGTTGATTATTTACAATTTCATCACTTCAGACTCGATTTCAACCGCGACAACGATCATTGAATATTGTAAAATCACCAATATGATAAGAACCAAATTCTTGACCCCATACCAAAACTTTGTGTTACCTTTATCACTATGCAGTTCTATCAGTGAAAATGAATGCCCTTCTGGCTCTTAGCAGTCTCAGTGATGAAATTCAGGTTTTATGGAAAATCTCACTGATGGTGCATATTTCCTAGTGAATGAGAATGTTGACTTGATTTGCACTTTCTTTTGTATGTGTTAGGGCACGTTCATGCTTGATTTTGAAGGCAGAATGAGCGATTTGTAACGCTCATCGTAATCGCAGTTCCACGGTGCACTGTTCATGCTCACTTCTCCAGGCAATTCTCCTCGGGTAGCCTTCAGCTGGATTCGCAAACCTGTGTGCGCATGCTACGTAGACCCACTAGAGGTCAGTGCGTTGACCCCATTTAAACGCGTTTACAAATTGTAAACGCATCTTTTTGTGAGTTTACGATTGTGAGTTTTTCGGTGATTCTACAAAAGTGAGCATGAACGCAATCGTGTTTTAAACTAAACGCGTAACAGATGCCTGATTCTGGCCGTCAAAATCAAGCATGAACGCGCCCTTAGAGGGACAGACTCCGACAGAGGAAATTAATTTTGAATATGATTCTTTATTCCATTTGGGAATGAACTTCCTCTGAAAAATTGATATCAGAATTTAGTAAATCGAATCTTTCTTATTTCATTTGTCTGAATGGTCCTATGTAATGCCAGCCTGACCATCATTAAAACAATGTTACTCGCGTTACTCTGTAACTTAATTACCATCATCGTCAGCAGGCGTTTAATCGCCTTTCCTCACCCCTTAATCATTACTCTTTAGGCTATAGGGTCTTTAAAGGGAAAACTCAACTGTCCTCCTTTTGTTTGTACATGTATTTTCCTTTCAAATTTTTCAAACAAAGGATTCTCCCTTATCTCAGACTTTTGATTTGGATTTTGTGTATGTAATGGTTTGGATAGATGTGAAAATGCAAGTTGTTTAGATACATTCTGACCTGATATTTGCTCCTGGCTTTATTTTTTCAATGACATACATGTGTGTAGGGTTAAGATTAGATTTTAATTGAAGTCTCTCAATTAGCAATGTGAAGTAAAATTTATTTATTATCACCATTTGTGTGTACAAATTGGCAATTTTCATTGATTTAAAATACAACTCATTCACATTAGTTTAATTATTTTATATTGTATTCTTTTAATTATAAAGAGTGGAAAATACATTACTTTGTGCCACTTAGAGGAGGAAAGCATCTAATTAATTTTGATGTTAAGAACTCTCTCTTGCCATGGGTTAAAGATGCAATCTTCTAATACTAAAGGTGTAAAGACCAGTTTTGGAAACGCCCCTCTCTCAAAAAAATGAAATGGAAGCTCTTATTACCAATCGTGTGAAAGAATATGTTTTGACTAACATGTGATGATACAAATTTTACCGGGAAACCGCCTACTTATTGATATACAATGTGTATTTGGTAAATTGCTAAAGTATATCCATTTGGACCTGATAGATATCGTGCACGTGTTGCGCACATGTAGCATAGTCCTATATACATCTTTCTGTGTACAGTGCTTGTAACTTTACCAAGACTGGGCCAAATTTCTTATCATTTTTGATGATTCCAGAACCTTGCAGTACACACCAATATGCTAGATGATCAACCTTTTCTGATCGATTCCACAATGTTTCTTTCACAATCCAATGGCATGACCAGAACTGGTCTTTATTTTTAAGTCTAATATATAACGAATATGTCAGTATTCAATATATTCTTGTACTTTTTCAATTGTGGGTTTAAAACAAAACCTTGCAAACTCATCATTTTATCAGTTACTGGAAAACCATTTGTTGTGAACTGGTGGAGCAGGTCAAAGGGAAGTAATAGCTATTGCGATAACTTCCCTGGCCCTGCTAGGCTGCTTCTAGTACTAGACCAAAGTCCACCATATCCTCCCACCGATCTGTTAACTTTAGACAACTGGGCTCTTCGTAAAGCATTAAGTTTTAAACCTTCTGTATAGCAGGTACTGAAATATAGTTATCACATTTTTTTAAACTGGTATCAGTTCATTAGTTTTTACTGACATCAGTTCCCATACATTGAATGAAAACTGTTTGTACTCAAGTCTGAATTAAATGGGGATAACAAATCCTGTGTAATAGCTATCTTTTACAATGTTATCGTTTCTTTTTAATCATCTGCAATAACAATGCCTATTTCAAATACTGTCTGTTTACCCAGCTACATGCCTGTACATTGTACACCTACTTTTAGGCTGTATATCAATAGTTCTGTCTTCCTTGCTTTGTTTATCGGTGTCTCTGCTTTCCTGCCTGCCTGTGTGTACATAATGTCTGTCTGTCCAGCTGTCTGTCTTTATTCCATTGACCCATTTTAAATGTATTAACCAACAAATATATCTCTTTTTCTCCTCCCACATTAATTATTCTGCATTGATCTGAAACATGTTGTATTAAAGATATACATTATATGTGATAGTGTATGCCCTCTTTGATTGTCTGCTTTTTTCATTCTGAAAGCTCTCTCATTTTGGAGCTTTCGAACATGTTACATTTCTTTTTTTATAGAAGAATTTGTAATACCATGTATTTTTACCTGGTGTGTTAATTTTGATGAACATTTCGATCGCCCCCTCTACTGTAACAAGCATACTACTTGAAACTTGCATGTAAACACAATGGCCCATACGCTACTAAAATTTTAATCTGATGTGGGGTTTGGGCTTTTGATAATAATCGGTTTATAAAGTAAGTCATAAAGATTTTCTTTTGACAATCAATGAATCAAGACCTTCACATATGACTTCTCTTACTGGTCAGTCAGGAAAGGAGATCCCAATTTTACACCTTGCACCATCATTATACCCGGGTACAGGGTGGCAAAGCTAGAGGGATGTCTTGCCCAAGAACATTGATACTGTCTGCTCTTCTGTGCAGAGACTTAAACATGCAACCTCTGCATTTCCAGTCAAGTTTTTTTAACACTTATGATTTAGAGTTATGATTTGCATTTTCCCATGTTTTTGATATTACAGACTTTAAATTCAAATAATCATTATTTAATTATGAAATATGTTACTATTGATCCTTTAATTCTTTCATTTCAGATCCCAGCTTCACAAAAAGAATCAGGGGTGAAAGGGAGAGAAAGAATCAAGACCTTCACATATGACTACTCCTACTGGTCAGTCCAGAAGGGAGATCCCCATTTTGCATCTCAAGAAAGGGTGAGTATTTTAAGAAGATGTCTTTACAATAAAACCCTTTGACTACTGAATTCTGTCTTTCCCATAAGGTTAAATACAGGGAGCATGCAGTTCCCATACACAATGGGTTAACAGAAATGCATGTTATGCTTTCTCATCACCTCAACAAGCGAGTGTAAATTGAAATCCATCTATTTCAGTTATTTCCTGTTGTCCTTTGCAGCATATATCATCTGCTTAGAGTCAGAAACACATGACTTTATGTAAAGTATTATTTGTTAATGCTTTTTTTTTTTTTTAGCTCTCCTCAGATTATATGCCCTTAGCCCAGATAATTGATAGGTGTATAAACTTCTACAATAACTAGTTAATATACATGTACATGTATGCCCTGTAGAAATTTGTAAAAACATGCACAGCACCTTTTATAGTAATAGTAAAATCTGATGGTGAAAAACTTGTCAAATGGAATTTAGTACAGAGTTGGTTTTGAATATGTTACTGAACTTTCATTTACATGTAAATATGTAAGTTTGTTAGCTTCATGTAAAGTTCTTTCAACTTTTTGCTAAAAAGATTCTTTCAGCAAACGTAATGGCCTATGTTATTTTAGTGCAAGGATGGCCGGTTAGTCATGGTTTCAATTTCAATAAGTTTTGCTCAGAAATTTTCCTTTTCCACATGTCTGGATGAATCCTATTCATTGCTACATACATGTACCAAGCATCTTTGATACTGCAGACAGAAATATTTTCATACAAAATATCAAATTGCACCCAAACATGCCCTTACATACATTGTAGGTATGTACAATGGTATTTTCATGTTATTCTAAGATGTGTTTATTATCATTACAGCATTCAGTACATGTTATGCTTATAAAAGTGAGATGGAGAATACAGCCTTGCTTTGTGTTGATTTACAAGTTACACCCAAGCAGTACAATCAGCAAGGAAACTATGAATTATTCATTTGCAATTTACTTGCTCACTTTAAAGTGCCTGGTTAACATTTTTACCCCCCAAAAAAGAAAAAATTGAAAGCTTCTTGGGTAGTTAATTACGGTTCTTTATGAATGTTTGAGCAAGTTTCAACTGGGTTATTGACATTGAAGATTGGTATTAAAAAGAATGTTGATTTTTATAATAACCCACAAAGCTTCAATGTACAAATCTTCTATTGTACAAAAGTGGTACAAGTACAAGAAAATTATAATTCCTGTCACCCAACCTCCTGCCTCTTGTGGCGCCACCACTCATTAAACGTTGCGGTAGAATAAAATATTAGGTTATTCCTGCCCAACCAATTGCCTGCCATAGCAGCAGTTAATGCATGTCAATGGTGTAATGTGAATTCCAATCATGGAGATACTGTCAATTAAAAGGTGAATTAAATAGGTCATTGGAAATAAGTGGAGGAGGAATTAATGAAATGGAATTCTGTGGTAAACAGTCTGTCAGACCTGCAAATGTAAAAAAAAATAGTTGTTTTTCAAGCTTAAAGATCAAATCCAAATGTAAATATTAACTTTTCATATTACTTTGTCTACCATGACACATATTATTCTCCTGAAATATTGCATTCTTTACATTGATTTAGTCTACCGTACATGACCGAGCCGACTGGTCTCGGCAGCTCTTGGCAGCATTTAAAATATGCAACAGTTCTGGTTGCATTGTGTTCTTGGCCCATTCAAGGCTACCATAATTTAGCATAAAATCAGTCGCATGATATGTCACACGACGACGATTGACACAGAATTCTTTTTCTGTCAAGCGTGATTCATCCAACCCACTCACTCACATGTGTTGAGTTTAAATTGATTTGTAGGGAATGTAGAGATAGGTAATGAATAGAATCAGTGCCATGAAATCTGTCTGTAACAATACATGTACATGTGGTTCATTGAAATTTCATGAAATATTCATGATTTATTCTACCCCGAATATGTGGGATTACATTGAATGTGTAATTAAAAAAATAGGGAAGCTAAGCAGATTCATATTAACTTTAATATTTCAAAATTCACCTTCCCTATGCCCAAGTTAGTTCTTTTTTTTTGGGGGGGGGGGGGATTTAATTAACAACAATCTAATTAACAGTTAATCTAAAAAAGAATATTCATTTTATTTGTGTGAAATTGGACCCATACCCTTTTTCTTCTCTAAAGTATGAGAAATATACTATTTGTATAAATTATGTATACTGTACAGTATGTAAAGCACGTCTCTATAGAGCATGGTGTTGGTACAGTGCATGTTGACTTTCAAAATTCAATTTTACTATTCTTTTTGCTTACTGTTCAAAGCAAATAATGTATTCATCAGCATTGTTTTTTAAATTATGTGAATAAACCTTCAGATTTCCCCTTTGTTGATCCATGTTACATTTGTTTATTTCCATCATTTATCTGTATTGGTTGTAGGTGTATTCTGATCTGGGTTCCGATGTCTTAGACTCTGCCTTTGAGGGCTACAATGCCTGCATCTTTGCCTATGGACAAACAGGATCTGGCAAATCTTTCACCATGATGGGGGTGCCAGTAAGTTTGATTTTATTTTTTTTATTTTTTTATTTTTTTATTTTTTTATTTATTTATTTATTTATTTATTTATTTATTTATTTACCGTATTTATTTATTTATTTATTTATTTTTTTTTTTTGGGGGGGGGGGGATTTGTTGTTGAAACAATAGCAATAACAATATATTGAGGTATTTAAAATGCATTTACACTGCCTGGTGAAAGATAAAACAGTCTGTGTTTATAGACAGCTTTAATAGTGAAATGCTTAATTGTGGAAAAATCATAATTTTTTTTAATGTAATCACGAAACCACCTCGTTGGTACATGAAACTGGTTTAAATACATACAACCTTGAAAAGGCAAAATGATATAAAAACTGTCATTCAGATATGTTAAATAACAAATTTTAATCTGTCCATATCACAACAAATTTTGACTTATGCAATTTGTTGTGCCATTACACTTTGTAATTACCTACATGTAAGACAGTGTGGTACAAGATACAAGCATATGTTATGCATGAAATGTGAACAAAGATAGAGCGCCTGTACTTCAGTGTGTCTTCTATCAGCTCTGAATCGACTCTGGTTTGGCTAGGGGTCAGAAGCCCACTGTGAATTGGGTATTAGTAATTCAGGGGGAAAATATGATGAATTATTCATCACATAAGAAACTCCCATGACGATATGATTCATCAGTTAGTGACCCACTCCCCCGACCAATTTCGCCTCTAAATGAGCTCCAGTTCATTCATGTATTACATGCTGTAATTACTTAAAGTAGGCGACCTATTTGGGCTAAGTACATTACTGCTTATGAAGGGACCCCATAATTAACTGGAGAATAGACTCTCCACTTGGTAGTTGTTTCTGTTAAAATGACAAAATGAAGTAAGGTGAAAACATAACATGGTGAGGAGAATGACTTCTTTAAGAAGGCAACTCTGGGCTAGCGGAGAAACAGTATGTAATGGAGAGAGTTCCCAGTCAGTGTTTACCCCTCCACAGCTGAAATCCATCTTGATATCAAATTGATTTCAATAAAGTGAGAAAAATTAGAGGCAATTTTTTTTTCTTCAATCTGATAAAAGATGATTTGTTATCATTTGCCCCAAACTTGCCAGATAAAGCAGCAGATAATAATTTCCATTGTTCTGTGGAGAAATAAAAAATCAAACCTGTCCCCAAATTATATGAAGTTTGCCTTAATCATTTACCCTGTATGTGATGTACATGTTGTCTTTTTTTTGTCAGAACTCATTAATTTAGATAAAATTAAACTTAAAAACAATAATGGAGAGTACATTGTTCTTTGCATAGGACATTATAATGCAAAATTGTTGAGGGATCTTCAAAGCTTCCCAGTTTGGTTGTTCTTCATCCGATTTCTCTCAAACTTTTTTAATTATCCATTTTTCTGCTTTTTATACATTTTTTTTAAAAATCACCTTGGTTTCAGGATGGCCTTTACCTTTAAACCTAGCCAGTTTGATCACAACTTGGGGATCTCCAATCCTACACAATTACATATTTGGGACCCCCATCAAATGAAATCATAAAATCTACTAACTGCTTTCTCTCAGTGTTATGACTCATAATGTACAGGACTAAAATGGCAGAATACCACCATATGTTTTCCTCATGGGACACTCCCAGACATCAAGCAGATAAGAATATAAACTAATGTGTGATTCTTACCAATACCAGCGCAAACACGCTTTCCGAGATTGACCTAAACTACAGCTGTATTGATTAACGAGGAATCCAGGTTGCCTATTGCAAAATCCGGATTTCTATATTTGTACATATCTGAGTGCAGATCTGAGGCAAAGAACCTCTCATTTCCCATTGTGTGTTGCTGATATTTTCGGGCTGTGTGAAGACAGTAGATTCTTGAATGGCCGTGACGGACAAAGTAATAGTTTGCTCAGAAGCACTTTCGTCTAGCTTTTCTCAAATGTATTTATAATCTTACTTCACATATTGTATTAACAAATTTGTATCATATTAATTAAAAGAAATTCCTTATAAAAATGTTGATAGCTTTGATTATATATTTTATTTAATGCATATTACCACATCTATAGACTGTAGGCCAGTGTCTTTGTAATATTAAGAGGTACAATATGCATGGATATTTGATACGTTGATATGGTTGAGAAGAAATTGAATTTGTCATCAATTGACTTAGATTTCAACTAAGATGGTATTTAAAAAAAATTGTTGAAAATTTAAAGAAAAATTATTAATACCTTGTAATAATAGAAAGGGGAATCAATATTGGTTTTGAGAATATATATATATATATATATATATATATATATATATATATATATATATATATATATATAAATCATATTTTATATCTGATTCTGTCGGGTTATGAGTCGTTAAAACATTTATGCAATTAAACATAAGCATGTGTGTCCACATTTTCTGAATTGCCATGCTTGTTCTCTACATAATTTAGCGAATCTAACAAGTAGATTCGCCTCTGCAGCCTGTTATCTATAGATTAAAGACTATGACATATCTAGACCAGAATTAACCTTGTACATAGAACAACCTTTACTGAAGTCTTTTGTGATCTATGTGTTCTGTATTAACACTGTCACATTTTATTTGTTTAGGACTCCAATTCCAGTGGTTATTAGCCCAAGATGTCTGATCATCTAAAGATATAATAGTAAAGATAAGGAGGTCATTCAGACCATTAGGTGGTATAAATGTGTCAATATACATCTAGTTGTCATTACATCTGGCTACTGGCACAATCATGTTGTCAAGATTATGGTATACCTGGACTGTACAAGCAGTTGTACTTTGATTGTTATGAGTAGGTATGTGTAAACGGTGAATGCTTAAATTTAGGGCCTAATTGTCTAATTTGGCAGGCTTTACATTGTATCATTGCTTGACATTATTTATTTTTTCTGACCTAAGAGTAATGATTAAAGGGAAATTGTTATCTTTAATGTAGGTTATATTAAGTTGTAGCTATGTAGACTTTAGCTTTCTAAATGGATAGACATGAATGTGAAAAATTGAAAGAATAAAAAAGCACACTGGAACCAGTGTATTCATAGCTACCATATTTTTCATACAATTCTTTTTGTAAGTGGAAGAGTCTTGACAATAACACTTGAACTACTGTATGTCCAGATACACGTATATGTTTTCACTGTGATTCATTTTAGGAAACTTTTTGAATAGGAAACATGTAGCTTCTTGTAGAGGATAACATCTCTGCTTGTATCTTGAAATTAAAACAAAACACCCACTAATTATCCACAATTTAGAGTCTTATATGCAAGCTAGTAATATAAATGTAATGGATGTGAGAAAGAGCAACACAATACCAATATATTCACCACTTTTTTCCTTCAAATATATGTACTGGCTATGTTGAGCAAAAGTCGTAACAGGGACATCAGAAGCAAAAATTGCAAAATAAAAAAAAGTAGACCATGAAGTCAGCTTGTATATGATAAAGTAATTTTATTTCCATTAATTTCATACCGTATGAATCATACCGAGATGCTTCTATATACGTACACTACGTCATTTCTAACTCCGATGCTGGCCCGGGCTCTGGGCTTGGCTGACTTAAGAATTCCAAAATACCCCTCATCCTTATGATGAATTAAGATTAATGGTATCAGCAAATTGCTGTACCATCCTCATTAAGTTGGCCGCCCGAAGATGAAAAATGGTAAGAGTGCAAGTGGATGCGGGATCAACCCGGCCTCACTTGTGAGTCACTAGGTAAATTGAGTTCATTTGGCAAATAAACATGTAAACATGTGCAGCGGGGTGTACGTCCTTGCTTGTACACGTATCAGTCATATATATTTTTAACAATATGGACGCATTCAGAGCAGATAAAGGTCATTTGATTGAGAAAAAAACATAGGGAGACTTGAGATTCTATGATACACATATGGAATATTCTTTTCAAAAGGGGAAACAAAAGCTTATGTCAGTTCTAAATGCGTATATTGGGACCTTTCGATATTTAACAGATCGTTGAAATGTAGCTATATTTGTACCAGGATGTAATTGTACAGTCTTGTAACTATGAACTGGTCTCTTGTCAAAGCTGTGCTGTATGATAGAAAGTGTATTTGCATGTATAACGTGTCCTTACATTAATGACATATATTTGTATTCAAGTAAATATCACAGGTGTTCATTATACACATTTAATGTAGAAATATATCTCTTTTATTTTCATAATATATTTCAAATTTAGAGCAACGTACATTGTCATGTAGACCAGTTTACTACCGGTACTTGTTTGTTTTGTTATGTATTACGTCTCGAAAAAGTCAAATGCTTGCCAGATGCTCTCCTGGCATAGCAACAATTATTGTACTCAAACTGAATTTATCTATCATCCATAGGGGGTGAATCAAATGGTTGGTAACCAAGTGTTTGGAAGAAAAACATGCATAAATTGAAATACATTATTAGTAAACAGGTCTTTTAACACGTTTCCCATTTTAACAGAGTTTATAAATGAGATAAAGCTATCTTTGCTTAATCAAGATTCTCATATTTTCTTCAATTTGCCAACAGGATGGAGAAGGTCTCATACCCAGGATATGTGAGGTAAAGAAAAGTCTTTTTCAGTTTTTCTCCTTTTGCAGGATATTAGTTAGTGTGTAATAATCAATAATTACATACAGTTTATTTTGAAGAGAAAAGTGAAAGATGAAACATAGGAAGTGATGATAAAGGCTTTCATTTTGTTATTGCAGATAAGGGCTTTAGTGAAGTCAGGTCTAAAAAAAAAAAGACAAGTACATATACTGTACATGTGTTTAACGTCCTATAATACATTTACAGTCATATTCATAATATTTCATTTCAAATTCAAATGTGTTTATTACATTTGAGAAATTTTACTTATTACCTGTGTAGGCTATTTAATCTCTTTCAATTCTTCAAGCTTCCATAGTTAAATATTACTGATAAATAAAATTTGATTGGAAAGAAAGTTAGTTCTATGTGATGATTTCTTAAATTGACTTTTACATTCATTTGTACATGGTACTTTTAACATGTGACATTAAACTATTAAAGTGATCTCCCTTGTTTGATTGCAGGGGTTGTTTGCCAGGATCAGGACTGATTCCGACGATGTGTCATACAGGACGGAGGTCAGGTAAGAATAACACAGGTCAAATGTCAAATGTCAGAGTTCAGCAGTGAGGAAAACATAGTTCCAGGAAATTTCTTTAAAGGGATGGATCATAAGTTGTCACTATACAGCCAAAATGGATGTAATTAAAGGAAAATAATTATAAAAAATCTTTGGCACTGGTTTAACCACAATGATGAATTTTGTCATATTCACTTTTTGAGATCTCAAAAGTTGTTGATAGTCCTCAAGATTTCCCCTCTTTAAAGCTGGTACCATTATTGTTTAGAAACAGGTACATTGTAAATGTACATTTTGAATAATCCAGGGTATATGCAGGTACCTACGTACATGTACATGTACATGTGCATGTGTTAACCATAATCATGCCACTGTATGATTAACCTTCATGTTATCTGCCTTCCATGAAGTATATAGTACCAGTGATATTTGATGGCATTTTTGCTCGTCACATGTTCGAAAAAGCTACAGGGACTGTGGTTTTGAAACCACGATTAATCACAGTCAACCACAGACACAATTGTCTACTCGTGCTAACAACATCATTGCATTGCATCATCTGACTCACAAACCATTGGCTGAATACATAATACTAACAGCAGCGCAGCTACATAATACTTATCAAGGGTTTTATGTACATCATGACACGTGTATGTACCTGTAAGGTCAATGTACATATATGTGGAGAAATGTGGATAGAAACAAAAAAGGCGATTGCTAGTTTTATCAGTCAGTCGCGGATGTACAGTGTACAGAGGTTGCACCAGCCCTTGCCCCCCCCCCCTCCTCTTCATTAGCCCATGTAGCATACCTATTAAGAACACTTTTCCCCTCAAAATCTTGCATCCCTCATTTACATTTTTTATCTAATTTTCAAATTGTGCCCCCTCCCCAATCCAAAATCCAAATCCCCAATCCTGAATCTGCCACTCGTTTTATGTTCTTGCATTTGGCCTGGTATCTATGACTGAAAGTTCAAACTGCATGCAAACAGTCCTTGGTGCGTATATCTTTAAGTGCATGTGTAAAATGTCTAAACAAACACTTCATATTGATAGGTTACCTATTCGTTGGAAGCATTACAATAATTAATTTGAATATCATTTTTTTCTCCTATAACTCAAGTGTTTTTACGTCCCCAAGTTGAGTAGATTTTGCTTTCAGTTGTCATTGTCCCTCTATAACTCAAGAGTTAAGACGATCTTAGACAATTTGATGTTATCCTCAGAACGTTATATTCATATTCGGTGTTTACATGAAGCAAAACCCATGGATCCATACTTATACTTCCTGGAAGGAAATAATATGGCACAACCAAAAGTGAAACTGCAATCGATTATTTCGTTCAAGAAAGCTTGTCAAAATGTCTTGTTTTATATCTGAACAGGATTGATGAATAGTGCGTGCCTCGATAAGTTGATTTGCTTCAAAGAGTTGATTTGGTCTAATACATGTACATCTAGGTGTGGAGACTCCACCTCGAAATCTCCCCGCGAAAGAAAAATTGAAAGAAAACAAAAATGTCAATATCATGTATGTACCTCTATAGGTCATTACACACGTCTAAAAAAATGCAGCTCTCAAGAAATATCAACATTTCAGACTTAGTGCTTGGAAAAGGAGCTTGTGCATAGACAGGAAAGCTTGCATATAGGTCTGTGAGGTCTATGAGGTTAAAAACGTTTTCTTTACAGAACATTGTGCTCTCTTAAAGCATTCTTTGCAAGTTTTTATGTTCTCCTGTAAACTACAGAATTCTCTCATTCCCCAAGGCTTAATACAGGAACCAATTGGTACCCATAGGCAATGATGACACAGGAACGATGGTATGTTGTTATTTGCAAAAGCTTGTACATCTTTTCTTCCCAATTCTGTTTTAATTGATAGTTTTTCATTCTCTTTCTTTGTTACATAAACAGTTACCTTGAGATCTACTGTGAGCGGGTGAGGGATCTACTGAAGACCGGCAGGGAACACACCCTCAGAGTGAGAGAGCACCCAAGAGATGGACCATATGTACAAGGTGTGTAGACAAAAAAATTCTGAGCTATCTAAGTAATGGATGAGAGCACAACTATCCCTGGGGGGTGTTTCACAAAGACTAAGATCGAATTTAAGTTGGACTGAACTATGGGAGGCTATTCATGTCACTGGTTGCTCTCATCATTGGTCTCTCAATGATGATCTTTAGATAATACTTTTTCCTTCAATAATGAATTATCAACAAATATAAATTCTGTAGATTTGTGACCATGATTTGTATGTCCCTTGAAAGACCACTGCCAGTAAACGGTGAGAGCAAACAGTGGCATGAATGGCCTACCATAGTTAAGTCCAACTTAAAGTCGATCTTAGTCTTTGTGAAACACCCCCTGGACAACTTCTCTTCTACAAAAGTACCCTGTAGGATAGTTATCCCTAGAACAGCTTTCCTGATAAAATTATTCTTATGAAAATTAATGTCCACATATAAAAACGATCCCCTATTTGATTAAGTCTCACTGATTCTACTTCTACTTGGGCTTGGGGTTATTGTCCAGGGTATTGTCGTTCTTAGAGGCAGTTGTCCAGGGTCTTAGGGGTAGCTGTCCATGGATAGTTGTTGCAGGCTTAATTGTTCAGAGGATAGTTGTCAAAGGGAGGGGGATGTTAGTTGCACAGAGAGTTGTAGTCCATGTAGCAGTTGTCCTACGATCATCCAATCTCTGTACTACTCAAATCATTTCCTTATGAATCAGAGTGTAAGATGTAAATTAAGTCTTCAGCAATGGCTCAGTGGCAGAGCAGGGGTCTCGTAACCGGAAGGTCACAGTTTGAAATCAAATCAATGCCCTGGTGCCCTTTACCATGTCTCTCAGAGAGGACTTAAAGCCGTCAGTCCCTGGTCGCTTACTTACAAGCATACACATGCCTTCTTAGCAGTCACCTATTAACAAACCAAACCACCCGGCTTTCCTGAACAGATACCTCTGGGTTATTGCTTGTATCAAAGGTCTGTACCAGTACCTGAAGATACAGGAAATAGTACTTGTTGCTTAGAGATCACTTTCACTTGTTTTGCTGAACTGGTTCAAGTGCAGACAACATTAGTTATCACATGACACTGGAAAATATTTTGAAGCTTGTAAGACAAAACAATTGTGTTCCATATTTGGACTAAGGAAGTTTTTTCAAACATTGCTTTTGTCAGTCATGTGTAAAATTAGTCAGGTATTCACAGAGAGAAGCTGTTGGTAGCACTTTGTGAGAACACTGGAAAATTCTTTTGTTTAAACTTAAAAGAAAATTTGAGGGGGTGCTTTAAGGGAATAAAGGTAAAAAGAAATGTAAAAGAAATATAAATTATGTTACCACAGCATATCCTTGTATTGTTTTTCTCTATTCCCATAAGCAGGGGAAATATTCAAGAAAACAGAAAATGGACATAGAAATAAAGACCACATGCCTTTATAAACCACTTATCTATAAACCCTAATCCTCCACCCCATCCACATGTATACAAGGTTCCCTGTTGACAACAAAGGCTAACATTTGGTGGCACCAAAGCTCATATTCGTGGATACTCACTCAACTTCAGAAACTACTATTCATTTTGGAGCCTTTCTTGAAAGTCACTGGCATTCTGAAGGGTGAACTTAAAAAGTGCACACATTCTCCAGTACTTGGTATAGCCCGTTTCCAATTTCACAAACAAAATTTCTTCTTCATGCAATCAACCTTAGGTATTTGCTTGTCATTCCTGTCAATACAAATATCTTGTCACTGATATATAAATACTCATTCTTATTTCAAGTTGATACGGATCTCTGTGGAATGTAATGCATGGTATTACTAATACTGTTTCCTTTCTCCACCAGATTTATCAGTCATCTTGTTTCAGATTACTATGGTGTCAATTACATGTCCTGATTCCAGTACCACAAATATTTGAATCCTTTCCCTTAAAGGGATTGGGTAACTTTGTCTCAGATTCTGAAACGAAATCCTGGATTTAGATGCTGCAATGATAATTATAAACCTTCAGGTCAGTCAGGAACCCCATGACTTTTACAAGTCGATCGTCTGTCTGATTATCAAGATATTTATGATTGGAAATCAAAATTCAAAAAAATTTGTTTTCCTAACAGCCACTACAGTCTATTGGGGAAAATGTGTGTGGTAAAACTGGTCACTCAAGGATTTTTACTTTTTTGAGGCACTTCATGATCATTTTGAAGCGCAATTTTTTAGGGCTTCAATATTACTGTACACCATATCACAGACACTGATAACATGTAGGGCCATGCATCTCAGATTTAACATTGTTAACGATGCCTTTAATTGACATAACAAGACACACTTCCTCTTCTCTCTCTCTATCTCCAGATTTATCCAAGCACCTGGTGTCAGATTACTATGATGTCAAAGCACTTATGGATAAAGGCAACGAACAAAGGTACCTTCAGACCAAGTTTATGTAAAGCCCAAGTCCACTCCAAAAATAACTTACTTTCAATAGAAGCAGAAACATCAGACTAACCAATCAAACTTTAAACTTTTTTTGATTGGTTTGTCTGATTTTTCTGCTTTTATTGAAAGTTAGTTATTTTTCGAGTGGACTTGTCCTTTAAAGGATGTACCTTTAAAATCTGACGTTTGTTCTCACATCTTGGATAATACACTATTAATGAAGAATAATATTTCTGAGTACTTTACCAAGAATAGGCCATTTAAAAATATCTATTAAAGTTCGTACACGTTCACCTCCTGACAGGGCATTACATTCACCTGTTATGCATTATTGTACCTCAAATTGCATACATTATGGCTTGCCCTACCTAACACATGATATGTGCAGTAATTAGCATTCTGACTGTTGAAATACAATTAGTCATAAACAGATGATGAAATAATTACTAAAGACATGCATTATATTTGTTTACATTGTAAAAATGCCCTGTTGTCACTTTTGTAGCTGTTTGAGAGTACACATCAAAAGCTAAGCGATTGATAGATTGAGTGTATAATCAAGTGATTTCATATCATGGTCAAGTGCAAAATAGGAATAAATTGCTAAGTTATCTATTTTATATTTATCCTGCAAATTATTATTAAAAATATGATAAATAATAAGAAAGATTATCATTAATATAATGACTCTATAAAACTTTGAGATTTATCTGTAGGAGTTGATAAAGCTGATATATCTGTTAATTTTCTGTGTTTTGTTTCCTATCTCATCCCTTTCAACAGAACTACAGCTTCCACCAACATGAATGATACTAGCAGTAGATCACATGCCATCTTCACCATCACATTCACTCAGGTACCTCTTTGAAATTGGAACTGCTGCTTTTTTCCATGGTTCATGCATATCTTCGGGTTATTGGTCCCTATATCTCAAATTACCATGTAATAAGTTGTGCTTTTATGTATTTTACCATTTGTTTACATGGAAATTCATTTAAAGTGTTGAGTTTTCTTTTCTTGGGGGGGGGATGTCACAATATTCCTTTTAGGGGTTGCCAGTCATTCAGATTTACATTCCTAAGGTAATGAGGAGAATAAAAATAAAGAAGATTTGAAGGGCAATGATGATTGAATGCTGATTAAAGATGTGCACCCTACATTAACAAAAGTGGGATATGTCCATGCATATGAAACAGAATGATTTTGGTTGTTTAAAAAAAAAAAATTAAAATCAAAGTTCTCCATTAGGAGAACACTTCTCTCACTCTTTATTTTCCGCAAAGTATGAAAAAGCCCTCGTCATGTTCCTTGAAATGGTTGTCATGTATGTAATTAAATACATGTTCTTTCTCCATCATCTTCCTACGCAGGCCAAGTACATTGCTGATATGCCAAGCGAGACGGTCAGTAAAATCAATCTGGTGGATTTGGCTGGAAGGTAAGCTCATGTTTCTTCTTTTCTTCCTTACAGAGAGTCTATCATTTTGTTTGACATTCATGAGAGACATGTATGAGAACCTTACAAGAAACTGCCCTTTTATTATAAATTTTCTGAAAAACTACCCTTGTCTGAAAAGTAAGAATATTAGGAAGGGCTTCATGGTATTTCACCATACTAGCCTCGAAATTGGATCTGAGATGACTCAGTGTTATCTTTAGAAGAGCGTCTGACAGCTAAAATTAACAACTAAATTATTATTACCCTTACTAACTTTTGTAATTTGTATATGAAAGAGTGATTTACACTGATTGATGTTTCTTGAGAATGTGACATATTAAAGCTATTATCTAAAATTATTGGGCAAAGGCCCTAATTCAACCAGCCACCTTGCATTCTCAAATTACGAAAAAAGGGGAAAAAACACCAAATGAATGAATGATTTAGTTGTTAATTGATGTTAATTGTAATTTTATCTTATTATGAAATGTACCACCAGTTCAGAATATGATAATTAAATCTTCCCCTTTTTTTTAAGAAGTGTTCTAGGCTTTTTGCAAAGCTTTCTTTTTCAATAACACCATTCAAGTTTATTATTTTTGTCTTATCTTGTCAATCCCAGTGAACGAGCCAATGCGACAGGTGCCACGGGGGACAGGTTAAAAGAAGGAGCCAACATCAACAAATCACTGGTCACCTTGGGGAATGTCATCTCTGCTCTTGGTAAGTGAACTTGATGAAGTCTGAAAGGACTTTTACTCGTCTTTTTTTCCCCTGTTTATCTCTCTCTCTCTCTAAGTGCCATATCGATTGACTTTGGCGATCATGCTGTTCCACAACCCTCGGCTCCTAGCCTTCTCTATTAGCACCGCTCCCCGTTCTTTCACTGTTCTCTCTTCTATCAATTTCTGCAGACTGTCCTTCCAAAGTATCGTCCTTCTTCCCCTACTCCTCCTTCCCACAATTTTCCCTGTCAAAGGCAAGATTCTCTAGGCCTTCTTTACGTGTAATGTGACCCATGAACTTCAACTGCCTAATCAACATCTCACGTATCATTTTCCTTTGCACTCTAGCTCTTCTAAGAACTTCCTCATTACTAACTTTGTCAGTCCAAGGGATTTTCATCATTCTTCTTAAAAACCACATTTTGCAACTTTCCAAACGCTGTTTAGTATCAGAGGCTAAAGTCCATGTTTCACTACCATACAGAAGTTATGTTGAGTAATAAAACGGCAACAGTCAAACAACAGAATCAGGATAGAATGAGAGAGAGAGAGAGAAGACAAATTGAATTGCAGCATATAATATGGATACATTTAAAGATTAGGCTTGATGTATAAGTTATTACAAGTCAGAACTCCATTGACAGATTAAATTTATACTAAGTTATCCATTTCCTTTTGTCACTTTGTATTCAAATTCCTTGTTAGTGACTTCTTCCTGTTTTAAAAGGCATAATATTAATTACATCTATCAATACAGCTATCTTCACACTTATTTCATTTTAAAGTTTCTTTCTCTACCGTACAGTTATTGCTGGTGTATGTTACCTTTTAAGTGCCTAATCAATTATTACAAGGAAAAGAAACCTAATACCACTCTGTACCTTATGAAGTGAGTTGAAATTTGATTGACCTTGCCATCCATCAAAATTAAAGGTTTTATCTATAAAATGTATGACAGTTTATGCAACAGTATCTCACTCACAAAAACATGTAAGTTAACTGAGCTATATTTTAAGCTGGCCTACATACTATATTAAATTTTCTCCCAGATGTTGTTTATTCCTCATCTATTTGAATGTTTCTTATAATTTTGGGAGTGATTTTAGGTGTTTTAATGACGTTTAAATATTTTGGATGGTGTTTGGTCACTTTAAACTTTATATGTGTTCTAAATCCAAAAGCGAATTCAGTATATTCATTCTCCTTTCTCAATTATCTTTGCTTTCTCTTTTTTTTCTTCTCTCAGCCGATGCTTCCTCTTACAGCGCTCCTAGTCCTGGAGGGAACCGGAAGAAAGCTCTCTTCATCCCGTACAGAGACTCGGTCCTGACCTGGCTCCTCAAAGACAGTCTGGGAGGAAACTCCAAGACCATCATGGTAGCAAGTAAGATTGAGTCTTATTCTTTATATCTTTATTCTTTATGCTTATGAAGTCATTACAAAAATAGTTCTGAGACTTTGTACTGACTAGGCTCCCCAAAGATAGCCTGGGAGGCAACTCGAAGACCATTATTAAGTAAGCCTTATGCCTACATTTAGTTAAAATGGTGTTTTGTTTAAATATCAGTTGTCAATTATGTACCATGTACATTGTACATTAACAGATCAAAAGTGTAGAAATACTGCATCTTTCTTTATATTTCCACTTTTATTCTTTCTTTCGCAGCCATCTCACCGGCTGATGTCAACTATGGCGAAACTCTAAGCACTTTACGATATGCAAACAGAGCTAAGAACATCATCAATAAGCCAACTATCAATGAGGTATGGAGTTCTAGGATAATTCATTTCATCAGTATTATCACCAAAATTATAGACAGTTTCATTGTCTTTGCTAGAACATAATACAGTAGTTTCCATCTATCCCGAAAATCAGGGAAAAATCTTGAAAATTAGTCCCCCTTCTTCAGTCAGGTAAATGTCAGGGAATATGAGAAGTCTCTTAAATTAGGGAAATAGTATAGAGTTTAATTGGCCTAAGAAGAAAGTAGTCAGTCTCTTACACATGTATTTCGTCTCATGTCCAAACAAGCATATCAGTCAAAAGATTGGCTCTGGTGGCTCCTCAGTGTGTAAAATGCCCCCATTAATGGTCCTGCAATTTTGAAAATGAAGGGGAAAAATGGGCGAATTTTGCTTTTATGAAATACTGGGAACCCTGTTAAGGAAAATTACAAAATATATATGTGCAGGTTTCGAGAAAGAATACGTTTTAAGTGCCTCAAATGTTTGACTTAGCTTTTATTTTAATTAATATTTTATTAGGACAAAAATGTGAAGCTGATTCGAGAACTGAGGGCAGAGATCGCCAGGTTAAAGAAGAGACTTGGAACATCAGTAAGTATCTGACCATTAAAGAGTGATGTGATATCATTAATATGAACTTCAGGGGTTATTTGACCATCATTTGTATTGTGAAACAGAATTATTCAATTTGAATTGTTTGCAGAGGCTTTGATCCTGCATGCAAAATCACACAATTGTGTGGTGATTTGGAGGAAAGCATTGCTAATGTCTGACAAGAATGATGTGTAATTTATCATTTTGAATCAAGAAATCAATTTGGAAGTGATTTGTTTTAAATTTGTTTGTATATCAGTTGAAAGGATATTGAGAATCTTTCCTGTATGTGTGCATCTCATCGTGTTGTTAGAAATCATAAATCCACATTACACTGAAAGAAATTGGTTCCATCTTTTGCTATCGAAATGGATAAAAATCATGCTAACATTGGTTTAAATGCTGACTATAAAGAGGGTACAAATTATGGTGTGCCCAGTGCCACCCTCTCTACCCTTTAAGACTTTTGTAACTAAATGAATGAACCAAATATTGTCATAATGAGATCAATTTCTTACTTCATTTCACCACTTAATCCATTCTGTTAATTTGTGCTCCATAGATCAATGGGCTATTAAAGATAACCCATATTTGAACTTCTCCACTTACATGTACCATTTTTAATTCAAATTTGGTGCATGAAAGATAATTTGCGTATAATGAATATATTGAGGGTTTGGTGACACAAAGACAAAACTTTATATTTTGCCTAAGTTAGCATTTGATATCAAAACGTTCAGAAAAATGTGGGCTTTCCAGGAAACACAAGAAGTCAATGGTTGGTGAAACATAGACTTGACTCCTTAAGGCCCAAGTGCTCAGTGACACATAAACCACTTTTTCTCAGAATGAAGTTACTTCTTTGTGTCACTGACCCCTCAATATGTATGTACAATTTACATGTTGCTTTTACTAACATCTGATTATAGTAGCAATAGATTATTGTGTTGTAGTGTCCCCTGAATAACTAGAAGTGCCTTCCTGATTTCATTTTATCTAATCGATATTATTTTCTTTCCCCCCTTTAACTCTCGCCAAGGACTTTGATGACCTTCCCATAGGCAATAATATGATGGACAAATTACATCAGAATGAAGAAAGAGTGAGTAAATCAATAGATATATTGTAAATAAGAAAATGAATGCAGAGATGTTAATGTACACAGGCTTTATAATCGCATACAAGACTACATGTATACAATACATAGATGAATTACTTCATACTGGGTACTTGTATATTCATGTAAGCTCTTTTTTTGTAATTGGTGTCTTTAAAGGAAATATTGTCTTGGGGAGAATTCTTTTTAGTCAGTACATTATCAACTTTTTGCTGAATAAGTATTGCATTGTTTAAGTCTGTTGTTCGTGAATAAAGATCCCATTGCAGCTAGTAAAACATATATATATATATAGATATATATATATCATTTATATGAATGTTTCAACAAGTCTTTGGTTTGGGTGTGGTATTGATATTTTCTAATGACAATTATTTTGGAGTGTTTCATTTTTTTAAATTTGAATTTCTTGGATTGTTCATTATAACACAGAAAGAAAAAAATCAGTGATGATTCAAAGCATGATTATTGTTTATTTTTTCATGAATAATTTTAAAAATTTACCCTTAAATTGAAAAAAAAAAATTAACCTTGAACAATCACAATTTTATGTTTCACGGTGCACTTTGCTTTGACATTCAGCGATCCAGCCTTGATGACCATAGAAATCATAAAAGCATGTTAAAGAGAAATGAGACAAATGTTTGAAAAGTTCCATCCCTAGTATTTTATTTTTCTCTTTCCTCTGGTTTATTTGTTCAAACTAACTAAAGTATTTTTCTTCTTCCTTTTGCTAATATCCCTCTTTGATCCTACCTGGCAACACAGTTTCCACCATACTCCAGCTTGATTGATAGAGAGAGAGAAACAGAGAGAGAGAGAGAGAGAGATAGATAAAGGGAGAGAGATAGAGAGAAAGAACAAAAGAGAGAGGGGGATGCAAGATTAAATTAGTTCTATTATCGTTTATCTTTCTTGTTTGTTTCAGGTAAAAGTATTGACCAAAGAATGGGCCTCAAAGTGGAATGAAACTCAGAATCTTCTTAAGGTAAGTTTTTATTGATTCTGGTCAAAAGTGTTGTCTGAAATACAGAGAGGTGCTCCATGAGTCAGTGACCAACTCTACTTGCTAAAGTGCACATCTGATATGTAGTTGTCACATCATAAAAGATACTAGATAGTCATTTGCATTTATGCCACAGTGAACCCCTGGAGAAAAATAAACAATGTGCTTAACATTTCTGAATCTTAGAACTTATGTATCAAAATTTCCACCAAACTAAAAGTAAGACACGTGCTGCTCCATGAGTCAATGGCCCAACTCTACCTGCTAAATCGTTGTTCACATCTGATACAGAAATATTTTATTGGATGGGATAATCGCAACATAAAGCAAGGAAGGGAGGCCAGATTTTCCTTTTTAGTTTCTGTATCCATGAGCCCTATGTAAAATTTTTGTAATTTTGGGGGTCCAGACTTAGATTTTGGGCAGCCATGTTTCCCATGCACCTATTAGTGTCGAGCCCTGCATATTGTTTAGGCTACTATCTACCTGAAAATTATTAAGTAGGCAAGCTTTCACCCATTCCTGTTGACTTGCTCAAGCCAAAGTGACTCTGTACACCGCTTCTCGCTGTCTGGCAGGGCAAAATAAACAGTGGGCTTCACATTTCTGTATCTTAGAACTTACAGATATGACCCTTTGTTAGATGCAGCTACTACCCCACTCGCCATTCATTTACAGTATTGAAATGAAAGTTAAGAAACGCCACACTTTACTGCGTCATGTGAATAAGCCTTTTGACTGGGTTTAAAGAGAAGTTTAGTTCTGGGAAGAGGTGAAAAATAATATTTGACCGTTATCATTGTATTATGCAAGTGTGGAAGAACATCAGATAAAAAATGTTCCCTGAAAAGCAAGGCTCTTCAAATTCCTTAATATTTTAAATATGGCATGTAACAGCAAAACAAAAATCGGGATGGATTTTTGTGCCACATGTTTGTGTGGTCCCATATTATTTACCATTTTGATGACTCCAGAACCTTGCAGTACACACCAATACTTATATGCTAGATGATCAACCTTTCCTGATCGATTCCACAACATTTCTTTCACAAAATGCAATCGCATGACCAGAACTCAACTTGATCTTTAAACCAGGAATAAACTTATTTGTTTTTGTGAACACTAGCCACTGTCATTTGCTTAATATTCAAAGTGTCATCCTATTAATAATCTTTTCTCATCTTCTCCTAAAAACAGGAGCGGACGCTAGCCCTGAGGTCAGAGGGCGTAGGGGTGGTGCTAGACTCTGAGATGCCCCATCTGAGTGTGATCGACGATGACCCCCTCAGCACCGGTCTGAAGCTCTACCACATCAACGAAGGCACCACCACTGTAGGTCATCAGGATGCCGATAATAAGTGTGATATCAGTAAGTGCATCATGTAAGCCTGGTTCAGATATGAGGTGGCAAAACCGCAGCAGTTTTTTTGACATAAGAGTGTTATAATAATAATAATAATAATATGTCTTGTTTACCCAGGGTAGCCTCATCAGTATTCATACTGTTCTCCCTGAGGACCCTGCAATCTATTCAGAACTATTCAGAAATGTCATCTTTTTTATTTTTCATGTTTGACTTTGTTCCCGAAAAAATTCTTAATGCTGTAAAATGCATGTAGAAAGAATTCCCCATGTGGCTGTATGTAATTATTTCCTATTTTATGTCTCAGGCCAAAGCTGTGATTTACTCAACATTGCACGATTCATACATGTATACAAATAGGTCACATAGTAACTAACAATGATTTTGACGTACATGCATTTGAGTAAACCTATTTTTTCTTATACCCTGCTTTGTTTTCATATCAATAATTTGTTTTCTATTATTATTATTATTATATCTTATACTGAACTATTCCCATAAGACCTTAGTCTGGTGCATTCTTGTACTGAATTTCTTTTTGAGCAAATTTATGTTTTCTTACTCCCTGCTGTGCTCAAATATATCAATACTTTATTTGTTTTTCAACCGTTCTTTCAATTTTCAATCACTTCCAATATCATACTTTTCATTGTGTCATGCTGCTTCATTCAAAAGATGTTTTCCATGTCTTGCCTTTCAGTGCTAATCGGCCATGACATCCAGGATGAACATTGTCGCATCGTGTGCACCAACGGGAAGGTGATCTTACACCCGATCCCCGGGGCCGACTGCGCCGTCAACGGCAAGGCCATTACCGAACTAACCAAGCTCACGCAAGGCAAGTGGTGCAGAAGAGTCAATGTCGAGGGGTCAGTGACACAAAGACGTAACTCCATTTTGGCCATTTTGAGAAACAGTGGTTTATGTGTCACTGAGCACTTGGGCCTTAAGGAGTTAAATCTATGTTTCACTAGCCATTGGGTGGAGTTTTAGTCTTTGTGTTTCCTGGAAAGCCCACATTTTCCTGAATATTTTGATATCAAACACTCATTATGGCAAAATATGGAGTTGCGTCTTTGTGTCACTGAACCCTCGATGTTATCATTTCAATGGTGCATGAAGGCTGCAATGTTTATCTTAATCTGTTTGCATGTCTCTGCTCATGCTTGATATCGCGTGGGTAGCGAGTTTGAATGCATCAAGCTGGCAGTTGTCTGGCAGATCCAGGATTATGTTAAAGAGAGAGGGGGGGGGGGGGGGGGAGGCACCTTTATGTAGAATGGTGAGTTTACACATTTGAAACTTTTTTTTTTTATTTACACTTTTTATGGTGTCTGTGTGTGATTGGGTGTGTACTGTTTGGCCCTCCACATTTTGATATGTTTTGAATTATTGCAATCTATTTATTGTTATTTTTTTAAATTGTAGTTTTAATGTTGTTGAATTTCATTATACCTTTACTGCATTGCTATGTTCGTAGGTTGTTTTGTATGTTTTTATCATCATTTTCACCAAATTTTGGAAAGAATAGATTGAATTTAATTGAACTAATTATATTCCTTTCCTCTCTCTCTTTCACTCTCTCTCTCTTTCTTTCTTCCCCTTTGCTATCTTCTCACTTTTTCATCCTACCATGTTGTATATCATGTACTGGGTTTGTGCCGGTTGTTATGCAATTTCTGAATGATATTATCCGAAACTTTACTTGCTACTTGTTTTCTTACTATATTTATTATATCTAATTTGATAGGAAGCTGTCCAGACAAAACCTTTTCTTGGTTTTTTTACAGCTGTGCCTTATTCTGTTTTGTATTAATTCATTTCACATGTATATACTATCCCAATTTATGTATTATATTTTAAATGAAATTGTATGTTTTAAATTTGTAAAAATGTTTTTAAAGATGGAATTCAATAAACTGAACTGAACTGAACTGAACTGAACTAATGGGTCACCAGGGGAGTGTTTCACAAAGACTAAGATCAACTTTAATTTGGACTTAACTATGGCAGGCTGTTCATACCACTGTTTGCTCTCACCATTATGATCTTTAGATAACATTTTTTCCTTTGATAATGAATTATCAAAAATGTAAATTCTGTAGATTTGTAACTATGATTTTTATGTCTCTTGAGAGACCAATGCCAATAAATGGTGAGAGCAAACGGTGGCATGAGCAGCCTGCCATAGTTAAGTCCAACTTAAAGTCAATCTTATTCTTTGTGAACACCCCCTTGGTGCCCCATTAATTCAATTCAATTCAATCCAATCTTTTCCAAATTTGATAAAAATGACAATGAAAACATATTAAACAACCTACCAACATAGCAATGCAGTAAACATCCCCCTGGAGTGTCAAGGTTTGACGGACGGATTTGACGGGTACCACGCAAGAAGTCATTTGAAGTATTATTATTCTTTTCTCTTTTTCTATAGGTTGTTTTCTCTCCATCGGTCATAGCAACCTCTTCCGTTTCAAGCACCCTGCTGAAGCCAGGAGGTTAAGAAAGGAACTGAAATCCAAATCGATGAATGATCTGTCCCTCTATCGATCGATGGACAACCTCCTTGCGCCGCTGTCCTTCTCTCCATTTGGGTAAGCAGAAACAAACAGAAACAAAATTAAGAAGTAATAGCCATGTAGTGACATAGAGAGCTTGTTCAGTGGTGATGGCAATCTTCATGAAAATAGTATTCTCTGTGGTTCTTATGAAAACAAAGTGGCATTTGAGCCCCACTGCACTAGTTTGGCAAGGAGGGATTGCATGGTCATTGACAGGTGGTTATCTCATCAAATCAGCTCTCAATCAACATAAGAAAAAGAGGATCATGTGGGACCAATGGTCACCGATGAGACATTGTTTGCTATATAGAGGGTGCAAGTAGTTATAAGTAGTGCAGTGGGGCATTAAATGTCTGTTCATATGTAGCAATAAATGATCTCTCCCTCTATCACTCAATGGACAACCTCCTTGCACCGTTGGCCTAGCATCAACAAACAGAAATAAAATTAAGTGACTGCCATGTAGTGACATGTAGAACTTGTTCAGAGGTCTTCACAATCATGGTGAAAACAGAATTCTCTGTGGTTCTTCTGAAACGGGTGGTGATTGAGCCCCTGTGAATGTGCCCTTCTATTGTTTTGAGGCAAAGACTTTTTCTGTTTTATGCTGACATGGTTAATCACCACAGTTCACATAATGTTGTTGATATGTAGTCATTGGTCATGAAGTAATATCAAAGTTGTGCATTAAAGTGCTTTTGACGGTAAAAATCCTACATGTGATGTTGAAATTTGTATTTTACTGTGCTTGTGGTGTACATTGTGTTTTATGATAAACTATTTTTGCAGAAAAGTTACATCAAATATTCAGCTTTTTTCTTTTTTAAATTTCAGAAATGAACTTACCTTCCATGTGTCGTTCATTATCCTAGACGTGTTCTATCTGTTTCAGTGTCGTATACAAATTATCATATACCTGTATCTCACATTACGCAATGCACAGCTGTTCCTGCACTTGTAAAGATGGACCATTTATGAAGCACACCATTTTTGTCATCCTCTTCATGCTGTTTATTCAATGTTTGTGAAAATATTTTCACAGCCTTAGTGTATATGTGATGATATTCAGGTTTGGAAACATTTTAAAGATCTGTATTGTTTAATTGCCATTGTAAAAAATTTATACTATAATTATTTGTGTGTATTTGTATCTTTTTCTACATCTTTTATATTTGTTATTGCCCAATGTCTTTATTTCTAATGGACTTTCTGCCTTCTACTCATCTGTTATTCTTATCTTTTCTCTCTTCTTGTTCACTTCCTCACATCTTTTTCTCTCTCTCTCTCTCTCTCTCTCTCTCTTTGAGCAATCTTCTTTTTTTTTCATTCCAAGATCGCTCTCTGTTTTCTCTTTCCTTTTTTAGATTTATTATATCCCCATATTTTAATTTTTCTTTTCATCCTTTTACCATTAATTTCTATGCCTTGTCATCCTTTAGTATTTCTACTCAATAACCCTTGAACCTCTTTAATTTTCAGCCTTGAAATTAGACAAAAGAACCAAGAAGAATGGAATAGACTAAACCTGAAGAGGTTAGAGTACCCCCTCTTTGTTTCACCGTCCGACGATCCACCCCACTCTTTGCTTATTATTTTCCATTGCACGATTCAGCTGGAATGCCTCGGCCACAGAATTGATATTGAGTTGGGGGCGTTCACATATGTATTCAAATTAATGTGTAGCTCTATATTTGACAGTGCTGGGCTGCCCTTCACATTAGCCCTTTTTTTTTAATGTAATCAAATTTAATGCATAAATCTTTGTTCAGTGCCATGTTACAAATTACTTCATTCACCTGTTACGAATAGTTGTATTTCATAGTTGTATTTCAATAGTCAGGATGCAATAGTAATATACATGTTGTGTTGCTAGGTAGGAAAAGCCATAATGTTTGTCCTACTAGCAACTATTAATGTTTGCAATTTACATTCTGACTATTGAAATACATTATTATAACTCATAACGGATGAATGAAGTAATATGTAGCGTGGCACTTAACACAGAATAATGCTTTAAAGGGATCCGGTAACTTTGTCTTAGATCCTTTAGAGATAATCCTTGATTTAGGTCATGCTGCAATGATAATTATAAACCTTTAGGTCAGTCAGGAACTCCATGACTTTTACAAGCATATCACCTGTCTGATTATCAAGATATTGATGATTGGAATTACAAATTTTGAAAACCGTTCGCTGAACGGTTTTCATAACACTACAGTCCATTGGGGAAAATGAGTATGGTAAAACCGGTCATTCAAAGATTTTTACTTTTTTGAGGCACTTCTTGATCATTTTGAAGCGCAGACACTGGTAACATGTAGGACCGTGTATCTCAGATTTAACAATCCCAGTTAAACGATCCCTTTAAAGTTGATTTCATACAAAAATGGTCTATTGGTCTTTAGATTTCTTGAATTTCACAATACTTTATGATCACACTGCTGCGTCAGCAATCTTCTGTGCATTCTCAATTTCTCACCATTTCCAAATACGAGCCTACCATGTGCTACGTAATCCTTTGAATACATATGTGAAATGCCATTCTGTTTTGATTTGCTTTTAATAACAATATGTGTTTCATCAGCTGGTGTAATTTAAGTGATTTCTGTGTTCAGCTATTTTTGTGTTTTATTTTGAAATATCGGACCAAACATTTGTCCGAGAGGAATTGAAGCCATATGAGATCAAGGTACTATTCAACTTTGGAAAATTCATGACAAATCAGACCAAAAAGTAATGAGATGGAAATTGAATGACCATGATGAGGAGGTCCTCTTATATATCAACCTCCTATAAAGTTATCAGTTATTATATGAAGTTTACTTGTACTTCAGGAGAAAAGCATCTTGATATGGTCTTAAATGAAAAATTCCCCATCATTTTTTTATAAAAACTTCCCCATCATTTTACTATCAAACCTCAAGAGATTTAGCTTTTATTGGGTAAAGCCATTCTTTAGTAAAATATTTGACAATGCAACTATTAAATTACGGTTACTTTCATGACTATATGACAGGTGAATAGTACCTTTTAAGGCTGAATAATCTCATTTTTTCTGCAGTTCAGTTTCTGTTAGCATGGTATGCAAAACGATATAATCTCATATCGTGTATATGTGTTATGTGCTATCCATTGGAATGCTTGTGTAATCATGATTTCAAATCATTGTCTGTTAATTCACGCTTTTCATGTCTTATTATTTTAAGTTATTATTCAGTTTAAGTGTTTTTTGTTGTTGTAAGTTTGTTTGTTTGTTTTTTCAATGGTATCTGAATTATGTTTACAAGTACATTATGATTCTTTTCAGTGTAACGTCATCACATTTTATTTTTAGAGAAGGTTTTACAAATTTAAAATTGCTGTGAGAAATGCTGTGTTCCATAGCTATCGATGTATTTTGAGACATTTTTTAAAAATTGAAGATGAGCATCTATGGCCATGACAAGTGTAAATCTCAGTTTATTTTTTGAGTTGTCATTTTGACATCAAATGATAGAAAATGCCCTTGTTAGATTCTGTCAGTGAAATTAAAGTATTTGTCTGGAATTTTAACAATATTGATAAATTTTCATTACATGTATTTGGAGGAGCATGAATAATGTATTATACGCTCAGTGAATAGCTTGTGTTGATTGATTAATAAGGGCACAAGATCGTGATAAATTTGACCTTTAAAAATAACCATTATGTAAATCTACTCGTTATTTACAGTTACTATCACACCTGTTGCTGCTTTTCAATCAAACTAATCCATATTATAACTAACACCATGCATGGTCAATCAATTCCACATATATATATATATATATATATATACCATGCTATGTATACCAGTTCTAAAAATCATTTTATTTTTGCATGTACCGGTACATGTACAACTGACTACTTGAAAGGTTACTAGATTTTTCTGGGGTTGGCCAAAAATTGAACGGAGAATTTTCAACAGATACATGCATGTAGAGTACATACAATATATCTTGTATTTATCATCATCTCTAAAAAAAAGTATTTTCATGTGAGTATAAAAGTTACATTTTCACAAGAGGTCTAATTGTTTATGCATGATAGATCTGTTATAGGTGTCCTTCTTTTCATATTATCACATGATGATCACTTCCGTATTCTAAATGTTTTTTTACCTTATAAAGTTTCAGACAATTTAACTATTAAGTTTTATGTACCAGGAGTCCAATTGAAAAAGCCAGTACCGGTACACACAAAAGTAAATCCTTTTTACCTGCTGTGGAACTTGCCTTCTAGAAAACATTTTAAAGTTGCCCAAGCTTGGGTATATAGAGGGGAGCACACTGAGCCAACAGGTATTACGCTCCTGTGCGTACTAGTGTCCCTTTATGCATACGTCCATACGGGAGAGTAATACCCGTTGGCTCAGTCATCGCCAAGTTGCCTACTTCACAAACTATATACCCAAGCGTGAGCATTTTTAAAGATTTGATCCATTTCAAATGCTCCATGTCATAGATCTGAGATCCAGGTACTTGAGGAGCAGCACAAGCAGCAGGAGGCGGCCCGGCTCCAGGAGCAAGAATCCCACGAGCGGAGCCTGGCCGAGCGCATGACCACGCTGGACCGGCTGCGCGAGGAGGGGGAGACCGCGCAGCAGCACACGACGGAGGCCGAGCGGAGACTGGAGCATGAGAGGCGGAGACTCAAGCGGCAGAGCGTGGACATCATGCACCAGCTGGAGGAGTTCCAGAAGGAGAAGACGCGCCATCAGAGGGACATCGAGGAGCGGCTCAAGGAGCTGGAGAGCGAGAGAGCCTCCTTGGATGAGATCAAGGTCATGGTGGAGACGCAGATGGAGAAGAGCAGACAGGAGATGGAAGGTGAGAACAATGGGACAAAATTTAAAGCAACGTGAAAGACAGACAACCAGGAAGCTTTCTTGGCCCCATTTCACAAAACCTGTCATCAGTGACAAATGACAGTTTGTGTTATAAGCTACTGAAATCCTTGCTTCTGATTGGTTATCAGAAGATGTGTCACTGATTTTGCCAGTTGTCGTTGAAAAAAGGCTTTGAGAAACAGGTCCTGGTCTTAGCATTTTTCATTCCTTCTGTTCAGTTTAATATCCAAGATGCCTTTCACTATCAGTTGTTAGGTTTTGAACTGAAATTATATAAAATTGCTGTTCTCCATACATCATTATTTTTCAATATCATATTACCAAAAGAAGAAACTTTTGAATATACATTCAATATTGAGTAGGGAATAAAAGCAGGAGATTTAGTTTTGTTTTGTTTTAAGGGGAGTTGTTCCAAGTGAGTATTTATCCTGGGTAAGTAATTTTCATAACGGTGAATTGTTCAGGGATAGATGTCTGCATATGAAAAGAGCTGCATGTACATGTATGAAGACTAGAGATCCCCCTTCCCCAAGTGTCTATATCTGCAATTTATGCTTGTACAGTCAAACCTGCTTTAGTGACCACCTGTCTACAAAGACCACATTTGTTGTTTCCCCCTGAAAATAGTTTCTCATTGAATCATGCACTAAAGCCACCTGTCTACAAAGGCCACTTTTTGTGTTTTCCTTGGGTGGTCGCTATAGATAGGTTTGACTGTAGTGTACCTCTGTTATATCTTAGACTTCTACCAAACATTGTTTCATATGCCTTGTAAATTTTACAGAGGATGTCTCTGCAGAGAAGGTCCGACTGTCCGCGCTTGAACACAAGAGGGCAGGAGAGGTGTCCAAGGCTGTAGAAGAATTGGCGAAACAGAAGCTTGAGCTTGAGAGGCAGTTGGAGGAACATGAGAGGAGACACAGAGAGAATCTCAAATTGGTGGATGAGAAAGAGGCAGAGATGAAACAAGCCATGATGAAGGTTGGTTTGATCCTTCTTGCACTTTAAAGCCCCACTGCACCACTTATAGCTACTTGCACCCTCTGTATAGTAAACAATGCCTAATTGGTGCCTGTTGGTCTCCCATGATCCCCTTTTTCTTATGTTAGTTGAGAGCTGATTTGATGAGATAACCAACTGTCAGTGACCTTGCAGGGAGGTCCCCTGGCCAAACTAGTACAGATGGGCTTTAAGTTAGCTCTTGCTACGGCAACCAGATGCTTTGTTTGACAACGAGATTGTGATGAAATGATCTTCTTTGTGCAGATAGCCATTAATTACTGATATGCATGTTAGATGTAAGTGTGCCGTATATCATAGTATAGATAAACTGAGATACTCATAACATTTCGTCCCAGTTTCTGAAATGTTGACAAAACCTACATATATTTATAGAGACACCATTGCTCATGGTACATGTATGCCTCTGTACACAAACTCATAACATTTCGTCCCAGTTTCTGGAATGTTGACAAAACCTACATATATTTATAGAGACACCAACGGCTCATGGTACACGTGTGCCTCTTTAAACAAACTCTGGAGTTTCAGAGAGTCCTATGTTCAAGTATGAAATCTAGTATTGAGCACCACACGACCCAGGTGAGCTAAATCAGTACCTAGCAGGAATTTATTCCTTGAAATGCTAGAGCGCTGTAATGGCAGCTAGGCTAAAGCCAGGGTAATAATAAATGTGCCTTTTATTATTAACATATTATTCCCTGTCTAATTTAGCTCCAAGATGAGGTGTACACCAAGAAGGAGAATCTCCAGCAGGAGAGAGACGAGGAGCGTCATTTTCTCCAGGTGGAGAAGGAGAAGCTGGAGGCACTCCGAGCCAAGCAGGAGATCGCCCAGAAGATCTCCTCTCAGATGGACGACTCTGTCAAACAGAGACTAACCAGAGAGAGCAGTGAGATCGCCAGAGCTCGGGACCAGTTTGAAAAGCTGAAACAGAGGCAGTTGGATGCCATCGAAGAGGAGGAGAAGAACATTCAGTCCAGGGCAGAGTTCCTCGTCGGACAGATTTGGGAGAAGAGATCACGGCTGGAGAGTGAAAAGACTGAGTTGGATGCCAGGGAAAGGGAAGGGCGGCAGAGGCTGGATAATGATTTGTTTACAAGTGTTGAGGAGGAGGAACTCCTGAAGAGGTCTTTGGACGAAGTCAGCAAGAGGAGAAGAGCGGTGTTGGAGGAAAGGGACTCATTGGACGATGAGGAGGAGAAAGTGGAGAAGCTGATTCAAGAGGAGTTTGTGGTCCTCGAGCAACAGAAGCAGAAGGACGAGAGGCTGTTAGAGGACGAGTGGAAGAGCCTCCTCCAGATCGAGGCTGCGAACCTGGAGTTCATCGAGCAGGAGGTGGTGAACAGGACGATGGGTTGGGAGAAGCAAAAGACCAAACTGACCAACATGGAGAAACAGCTCAAGAACTACCACCAGCAGCAGAATGACCTGAGCAACCAACAGCAGGCTGCAGAGGGGAAGCTGGAAGTCAAGAGGACAACCATCAAGGACGAGTTCCGTCAGGTGGAGCATGGGCTCCAGGAGGAGATCGGCCAGCTGGAGCAGAGGATCATCGAGATCGACTCCCAGGATGCAGGAGGGGCTGCCATCAAGGACCAGAAGGTCAGGGTGGACAGCATGGAGCACAAACAGGCAGAGTTCCTGGGGAACTACCAGGAGAAGCTCAATTCCACTGAGGCAGAACTGTCTAGGGTCTTAGAGGAGCTCACCAAGGAGAGAGCAAAGGTAGATGAACTCAACCAGACAGGTAGCTTCATGGAAGGACAGTTCAGAGAGGAGCAGAAGAAACTCAACTCTAAACTAGAGGTACGTTCCATCTGTTGAGAGTCAGAAGGGCATTAACTCTATATTAAATGATATTTGTTAACACTCTTTTAGCTCCAAACAATTTGTAAGTTGAAAGTTATGTTTATGCAATCATATTCACCCACAGTAAAGAAATATATGCAATTCTTGCACGTAATTAGCCATCTAAACACTACCTGTCAAAATTGTGTAAAGATATAAAATACTCTCTACATCCTCATTTCAGAATAACATTTATGCGCCTTTTAGATAGTCAATCTTGATATGTATGTAGTCATTAATACAATTGTTTTTCTTTTGTGATTTATTAGAAATGGTCATCAAATTGTATGATGCTCTTTGATGCTCTTGTATAGAACTGGTTTGGCAATTTCTTTCTTTCTGTCATTCCTGTCAAAGTTGTGTAAAGATACTCTCTGCATCCTCATTTTAGAATAACATTTATGCACCTTTTGAATAGTCAATCTTTATATATCGTTCCTATTTTCACGAAGTGATGGTAGTGAGGAAAATCCGCACGCAAATTGTATGCGATTTTCATTCACTAACTTCACTTCGTGAAAATAGGGACGATATATGTAGTCATTAATACAATTTGTTTTTCTTTTGTGATTTATTAGAAATGTCCATGAAATTGTGTTGTATGATGCTTTTTGATGCTCTTGTATAGAACTGGTCTGGCAACTTTTTTCTTTGTGTCATGTTTTACCCCTGAAGAGTGTCCAACTTCTTGAAGAGCAGATGCAACAGGCTGAGCAGGAGCTGGTGAAGAGAAGAGAGAACTTTGAAGAGGAGAGAAAGAGGGAGTTAGGGAGGATAGAGGAGGAGAAGAGCAAACTTAGTGACCTCGAGAATCAAGAAAGGTAACATTCAGTCCCTCCTGAAAACAACTACTACATGTACTAGTACGACTAATACTACTGCTACTACTACTACTACTACTACTACTACTACTACTACTACTGCTACTACTAAACTACTAATACTTCTACTAAATAATAATAATAATTATAATAAGAAGAGAGAACTTTGAAGAGGAGAGAAAGAGGGAGTTGGGGAGGATAGAGGAGGAGAAGAGCAAACTTAGTGACCTCGAGAATCAAGAAAGGTAACATTCGGTCCCTCCTGAAATTCATTATATTGGAATAAAATGACTCTACTACTGCAACTACAAGTACATCTACAACTACTACTCCTACTCCTACTCCAACTTCTGCTACTACTACTGCTATTACTACTACTACTACTACTACTACTACTACTACTACTGCTACTACAATGACTACTACTACTACTTCTAGTACTGCTTACTACTGTTACTACTACTTCTACTTCTACTACTACTTCTACTACTACTTCTACTACTACTTCTACTACTACTTCTACTACTACTACTACAACTATATGATGATGATGATGATGATGATGTTGATGATGATGATGATGATGATGATGATGATGATGATGATGATGATGATGATGATGATATTAATAATAATAATCACAGAAAAATAATGATAATAATTTTTTTTTTTCATCAGTCTATTATTTGATAAAATATGCATGCTTGTAGATGAGATGTATGATAGTATTTCATTTGATACCCAGTACTGTTGCTTATAACAACAACTAAAGAGCTCAGATATAACTTGTGATTTTCTTTCATAATTGACAGAATAAATCGACTAGTGGAGGAGGAGGTTAAGAAGAGACTCCTGGAAGAAAAGATGGAACGGGAGAATGCTGTTCTAGTGGAGAAGGAGAGCGAGAAGATAGAAAGGGAACGTCAGATGACGGCCATAAGGGTGGCACATGAGAAGGAGATGAAAGAAATGAGACATCAGCTAGCGATGAGGTAGGTCATGTGAGAGTGAGAAAGAAAGAGACAGAGAGAGAGAGAGAGAGAGAGATGGAACAGGAGAATGCCATCCTAGTGGAGAAGGAGATGGAGAGACTAGAGGAGAAAGGTCAGATGAAGGTCAAAGGCCTTGAGGGTGACACATGAGAGAAAAATGAGACATCAGCTAGCCATGAGGTAGGTCATGAGAGATGGAAAGAGAGAAAGAGAGAGAGATGGAACGGGAAAATAAGGTAGATGATGAGAGGGGGGGGGGAGGGGAGAAAAAGAAACCGATAGGCAGAGAGAGAGAGAGAGAGAGAGAGAAAGGAAGAAAAAGAAGATATCAGTCATTGAAGCACCTTCAGAGACAAGTTGTTGCCTGATTTAGTAAGTAGTTCTGGAGAAAGACAAAATGTTACCCACAAAAGAAAAGCTCTTGGTAGAGGTTTCATAGGTGAACGATATGAAAGATCTCGGCCATTTTATGATTCTACCTTGTCTAAAGAAGATTTGAATATTCATGAAACAGTGGTTCCTTGTTAAAAGAAGATTTGAATATTCATGAAAGAGTGGATGGATATGTGTCACAGTCTGCAATGCAGGTAATAATGAAAAATGATTATCTATAGATTTGTATTTCCCATTCATTAGGAGTCATTCCTTGGCTGACTTACGGACATCAAGGCTGTCTCTGGTAAGTTGTTAATACTGTGCCACAAATTAAAATTGCCAGAACTATGGAATTGTTTTTATAAATGGGAGAAATTTCAATTGTTTAGACATATTTGTGCCTTACACCCAGTAAATAAGATTGATTGATCGATCTGTAATTGAAAACAAGTCAGAAAAAATCTTGGAACCAATGGGATTTGAACCTGCATCTACTTCTTGCCAGGTAGCAATTCTACTACCAGGCCATCACTGGTCCATGGCACAGTCACGATGAACTAGAAACAAATACCCTAGCTCTCCTGATTCATTCTGACTTATTAATATTAATATTTATTAGACCTCCATTAGCGCAATAGCTTTTATAAATGTCATGTTTCCTGGGAGAAATTTCAATTAATTAAACATATTTGTGGCTTACACCCAGTAAACAAGATCAATTGATCGATCTGTAATTGGAAACAAGTCAGAACAAATCTTGGAACCAAGATGCAGGTCAAATCCTGTTGGTTCCAAGATTTGTTAAAGTCTAAATGAAGAAAAAAAATTATCAACTAATCACTCAATCAATCAAAAGCACAGCTTTAGAGTTTAAACATGGATAATTAACTGCAATTAAACTCCATCTAAAACTGCACAAATATCAATATGATGAACAGTCCTGTTCTTTTTCAATTATGGAAAATAATACATGTTCTATCATACTTTTCTTCCACCTTCAAAACCCTCACCTGGGCTAGCATGAGCCAGTACAAATATCCATTCTTGTCAAGTCTTGGTTTTGCACCATGTCACAAATGGCTCTCGCTCACTGAAGGATAAAATATTTATATAATATTGGATGGCTTTGAGTGTGATACAAGAATATATAGCTCAAGCTATGACAATATTGAACGAGTCGGAGACGAGTCCAATATTGTCATAGCAAGAGCAATATATTCTTGTATCACAAAAAAACAATGACATACAATATTATTATCATTATCTATATCAGATTAACTAGCGAAATAACAAAATTTGACTTACCTCAGTAAATATATACGATTGTCGAAGTTCCCGAATGACTACCGGTAAGCAATACGAAGAAAAAAATTTGGTCAGTCATCCGGGTACTGCACTAAAGATATTGAATACACTGATTTATTGTACCACTTGGAGGGCCTAATATAGATAATAATGTCAGATATTCTGGAATCATTTGATAGCACAGACCCTCAGCTGTTGACAGGTCTGACAATTTCCTGAAAACAACTTGAAATATTTATTTGGGGATACTTTTTCCCAATTTATTTTGTTTTGTGATGCACTGTAAATTTCTTGTTATGAATACGATCACTCTTTATTTTATGTTGCTTTTTAAATGTTCACAGAATGCAAATGCAGATAACAGTCCAGAGGATACACAAAGGAGGATATCAGTAAGTGTGATTTAACCCTTTGAATCCAATTCTGTTTCGTTATAACAGGCATCTTCCATAGACCCTAGCCCGAGTTATCTAAGATTTACTTTTTAGGGGGGTAATCTGCGATAGTTCCCATGATATGTATAATGTGATACACGGCCTACTTTTTACTGTGTATTAATTAGGAATAGATGTATGCAACTTAGAATTGTCCTAGATTAGGGCAAATCACTTGTACATGCATACCCAATAATCTGCCTGTTGGCTGATCTTAGCACGTTTTCTGAGTAGTTACGAATTACAGGGTGCTGTAATGGCTAAATATGTTTTGCTAATATTTAACATTCCTCTTAAATAATTCATCAGTCTTTCCAATATTTGCTTTAACTATTCACAAGTCATGAAGAAAAATCCAGCTGAAGTGGATTGTACATGTATCAGAAATTAATTAATTCAGTAATTTGGTCTGTCCATTCAGGAGGTTGCGTTGGGGGGGGGGGGGCAACTCTTTAAAAGGTGGATGAAATGCTTTAAACAAGGCCATTGATTGAGGGGAGATTCCTCTATTTTTCTTATCTGTTTTTTTGTCCTTCTTGTTTTTATGATTTAATTTGGCTGAGTTTTCTAATGCACTTTGTCTAAATCACACACGATTTTCTCCTTTCCAGAATCTAACTTTCATTGAGACGCCCCACACTGCTGCCCTTGAGAACCCCATTCAGATCACACTCCCAAGGTTCATGCAGAGAGGCCATGGATGGGACTCCTACTTCGTCTTTGAACTCCATGTGAGTATTCAAGGGAGGGGTTATAATAAGGATATATTGACTGCTTTGAGAGGCATAGTTGTTTCTATAGGGTCAAGGGAAACTCACAACCTGCTATGACCCCAAGGCGCTTGCGCCGCGGGGTCATAGCAGGTTGTGAGTTTCCCGAGACCCTATAGAAACAACTATGCCTCGAATATTAAAAGCAGTCAATATATATTTTATATACCGAAAAAAAGGAAAATGTTGACTCACCCATTTAGGTTTCCATCTCTTTGAAGTCATGAATATTAACACCAACAATAACTTGTGTACAGTATGAAATCCAACAAGCTGTGCTCCAGTAGAACAGAGAATACCAAACACGTTTACACGAACAGTAACTTTTGTACAGGATGATATCACCAACAAGCTGTGCTCCAGTAGAACAGTAGAACATGAACAGTAACTTTATAAATTCACAAATTCGCAACATATTTACACAGACTTCTGCCTGCAACCCGCATAGAATTTTTGAAGGATCTTGTCCAGGTCTGCATTCGGAAGTCTGTTTACATCTCCGAGGTCCGTGTTGACATTTCGCAAGAACTCTTCAAATATTTTAATGCCGTATTTTACTGCATACTTCGTATTTCTGCTATCAGCAGAATCGATTAAGTCTTGCAGCTGAATGTCATCCATAAGTTGAAATCTTGGCATAGCTGTGTCCTCCATTTTGCCTCTTTATTGACAAAAAATTGGAAACAAAAAACCCCAGTATTTTGCGATCGAGACTAGTACACAAAATGGCGATCGGTCATCTGCGCTGCGTGGATTGGTAGATTCGTCGCCTGAATGCAGCGACCAAAATCGAATTGCACTCAAACACCGTTAACGGTATTGCGCATCGGTCATCGCACAAAAGAAACTTATACGGTAACACGTAAACCAAAATGGGGATCGCAGCAAAATGACGTCACGTTTCACAGCCATGGAAAAAGTGCTATGAAAAATGGATATAAATCGGTAGAGCCGGGAAAAATGACTATGAATTTTAATTAGCGGGCATGGTTAAGAACATGACTGCATTTTCAACCAATCAGAAGACAGGATTAGTAAAGAATCTTAAAATGAGGTATATAATAATAATTATAGGTGCTTATATAGCGCCTAACACTTACTTTATCAGAAGTCTCTAAGCGCTCTACAATAATGCGGCATATTTACCCTTGCTTTAGCAGAGCAGCTGTCACGCGCTCTGCATTTCAAGGAATAAATTCCTACCAGGTCCCCATTTACTTCACCTGGGTGGAGTGCAGCACAATGTGGATGAATTTCTTGCTGAAGGAAGTTAACGTCCTGGAATGGGATTTGAACTCATGACCTTATGATTTAAAGACGATGGGGATTAGTTAAATGATGATTGCTGAGATTCCCCATTGCATATTAAAATGCATGAAAAATTTAAAAGCGATACATACTGTATAAAGCACTCTTTGTATGTTTAATGTAATGATGATTGTTATGTAGGTTCATTTCATCTAGGAGCTGTGCTTTCATGGAGAAAAACAACAATTCTATAAGATGAGAGACCCTGTGCAAATGCATTAACATTTTGATTCCTTGTATATGCACAATGTAAATATTATTATGCCCAAAATAAATAATAATAATGATAATAGCTCACATTTATAAAGCGCTTAGTACTTTGTTTCTAGGCACAGCACATATTATTACCCCGGTCATCGGATTCAGGCTTACTTGCAACACAATGTATGCGCATTTTCCACTCCCTGGGGAGCATACTCAACAAACATCAATCTTTACCATTTAAACAAATGTGTTATGATCTCTCCTTCATGTTTTAGCTGAAAGTTTTAAATGAGTCGTGGATCGTGTTCAGAAGATACAGGAGATTCAGGGAGCTTCATGATTACATGAGGAGAAAATACAAAGAGGTAATATTTGGTTTGAAGAAGTATTATTATTTCTGAACTAATTTGTACATATTGTAATTGATTCTTTTCATTTTGGTCAGCTTGCCAGATATTGTCTTTGAATGAATTAGCATGATGATATGTTTTCATCTTTTCATAATACAACTGTAGTGGAACTTTAATGGAAATGATTCTCAATTTGTAAAGATCTGTCCTTCGTTTTCTTCCTGTAATAGTGGAAGCACAAAAAGTAAGTAATTTTTAGATATGTGCCCATCCTTATCTGCATCAGAATAATAATATTTATTTCTCTTCATGTGCATTTTTTGTTGTGCTGTCACAGTTATATCCCATTGAATTTTCATGTAATTTGAACTCCACAATCAACACAAATGCTAACCCTGTGTATTAAACTTTGCTAATAAGTAAATTATTTGTTTCTTCTCCCTCTATAGGTGAATGCCTTACAGTTTCCGCCTCGTCGTCTCTTTGGTAATAAGTCTGAGAGAGTGGTGCTAAGAAGGAGGATGGAGCTGGAGGTAAGCCTTGAAAGAAAAAAAACAATTCTGAAATCGTACAACACATTATCATTCTACTGTATTCATATTGAATGCTGCCATGAATTTGTATACATGTATATCAGAGACTGTAGACAAGTACGTTATGTGGAGAAGGAGTAGCATTGAATGAGCTATAAATAGTTTCTAACATTTAGAACAACTTAACTCCAAATCTTTGCATGTGATTGAAACTAATATTCATTTTCTAAGTGTCAGTGCAGGTATTATTCAATCATATGTAGCTGCATTACTATGGTATTAGTTCTTGCATGTCTTCAAAGATAAGAGATTTAATTGATAATCAATGTACATGTATGTACCTTACAATTTGTTCTCTTCTTTAGACAATGAAAGTATTCTGTACACTGTTTTTTCAGTCTGAAATAAGGAGAAGCACTTTAGAACTTTACCTTACCTTACCTTTGAATTTGGACCTTTTTTTATGAATTCCATTTTCAGAGATATCTCCAGAATCTCATGCACGTGTGTATGAAGATTCCCAAGTGCCCCATCGCGCCGGGTCCGGGTCGCGTCCTTTCCAAGCAGGTCGTCTGCGAGTGGTCGCCGTTCTTCCGCAAGGGTGCCTTCGACATCACCAAGTATGGAACCGGATGATGAGGGTGGGTGAACAACCCTGATAGAACAGTATCAAAATCTGAACAGAACTTGCCAAAAATCATGAATTAAACGAGTCCTACGATAACATGTTGCCTGTGTATGCTGATCGGCGCGTCAGGAATTTACCGTATGCCTCGCTTTTATCCTTGCCAATTTTGCCGTGAAGAATGGAACCAAAATGAGCTGATTCGAGGGAAATTTTGATAACTTTTTCTTTTTGTGGTCGCTGATGTTGGCTCAGTCGTGTCCATGTGTATAATTATGACTCCAGGGGGGCGTTACACAAAGCCTTTTCGCAATGACAAATGACAAAAATCAGTGACAAATCTGCTGATAACCAATCAGAAGCAAGGATTTCAGTAGCTTATAACAAAAACTGTCATTTGAAATACGATTCCAGAAAGAAGTAGAGGAACTGAAACTTTCAACACCTATAAGAGCAAATCACAAGAATTAATGAAAGCTTAAAGATAAACTCCAGTACTGGTAAAAAAAAAAAATTAATTCTCACAGAATCAAACGAAACTTACACTGAATGTTCAAGATTACCAGTACTAAAGTTTATCTTTAATGTGACGATAATGATCAAACTGTAATACGTGAGCCAGTATGATGGCTACTAATGGGCAGTTATAGAATCGACGCCTCTCTGGTTCTATTTGCATTACATGCAGAAATATACGATGCAATCAGCTTTCGTATTTTTTAAGGCTTCACTTCACTTGTTCACAAGTTGAAAGTTCTTGTGCAAAATGTAATCATGGTCACTATTCAAAATCCATTTGTCTTCTCAAGTAATGATTTTAGAATATCTATTCAAATGTGTCTAGCCACCTAGATCATAAGATATGAGGAAACATATGTTTTGTAAACAAATTATAAAAAATTAATGTCAGTAAAAGTGTTGTGTTGTGATTGATCATTGTTACTGTTAAGAGGAACTATTCTTCTTTCAAGTATCGGTATAATTTCCTTTTGGGAGTCCTGCTCTCAAATGACAGTTAAAACACAGCTCAACTGTCGTAAAATATTCTAAATTTTAAACCCAGTGATTTATACCTCGAAAGCAAGATAAAGATATGTCAACGGTTTCCCGTAAAGTAGGAATAATTTTTTCTTAACGATTTCATGAAATGATTGTATCATATGGTTTATTCTTGATAGAATAGTTTCTCTCATTGATCAATCTCTATGACTCTTTAGATTGATCAGTAAAGATCTGGGAAGATATAAACTTTCTCTATCGGGAATTTACCATATTGTCACAATCATTTCATGAAAAGAGTTTTATTCCAATTTTATGGGGAACAGTGTACTGTATATATACTATGTGATGATGTGTGAGACAAAATATGATAGAGTATTTTATATTCATACATGCATGATAATAAATGTATGTAGTCATATGCATCAATAATGGAATGTCCAGTTCAGTTAGATTTGCTTCTTAAAGCCACCATAAATCCACTGACCTGACTACAACAGTGTTGTAAAAGATATAGAAAAGGATTAAATGTAGAATCTCAAAAGATATAGATTCCTTCGAAACATAGCCCAAATCATTATGTAATACTGCATAGAAATACTGAAATATTATGTTTACAATTCTTTAACATTCAAGCACTGCATCTTTTTAACTACTTATAAATGTGGCTAATACTTATCAAACCTTGTTGATTTGATGGAATTGCAAAGACTAAGACAATAATGTTTGATTACAATCTCTCTCATGAATGTCATTGTTTTTATTAGAGCAGCCATGTGAAGCTGCTAGTAGTCTCTAGCAATATATTTGCAATAGTCATAAACATTTGCAAGCTTTGGAAGGAGCTCAAAGAAATATATGAAATGCAGGTAGGCAATAGTGGGTCATGTGTAATAATTTACAAAACAGAATGAAATTAGTTTGAATTATTCGATGCTTTTCAATAATGTGCTAGAAACGTGTGTGCTAGTCAAATGCACCACCCTATCATTTTAAATCCAAACTAGAAGTAAGTTTCAAAGGCTTTTCATATAAAACAATTTTTATAGGCACTGATATTAGAGGTAAATTTTATTTGATGTGTAAATGTACTTTCTCACTCTGTGTGCTTGTAGCCTTTGTTCATTTATTTTATTCTTGATGTGTTAAGTTTTGTTTTCAATTCGTATCCATGTTGATGATCATGGAAATGGAGAAATTGGTCTGGGACCTAGACTTTTACCTCCCTCCTCTCATCATTATTTCTTGCTTTGGAAGCTCTTAAAATGGCCAAAATTTTACTACACGCTGTTGATAGAGAAGACCACAGCGTTGAAATAAGTTAAAGGGGTCATGAAAAAGATTTCCTTAGTTTTTGGCTTGTTAACCCCCTTTTTTGTTGGGGGGGGGGGGGGGGGGTTGTCGGGTAAAACACTTCCTCAGATAGTTTGCTATGAAACAAGGACACATAGCAAAATCATATGTTTGGTAATTTAATCTTTATTATGTATTGATTTATCCATCATGAGATAAAATCCCTGTGTTATGACAGCTCAGTCTAATATGACTATATTACTGATGGAATTAGGAGTCATATTCTATTCCTTTTCAATTTATAAAGAAATAATGTGAAAGGGTGAATTCCAGAAGAAAAAAGAGTGTATTTAAGGAAAGATGTTTTCAAAAGTTTTTAAAAGTCTTCTGATCACACAAATAACATTAAACACTAGTTGAATGATTGAAATTATCATGGTATTTGTCTCCGACCAACTAGATGCATGACGGAAAATAGATTTCATGAAATGTATAACCTTGATTGATACTATAAGGTTAGGGTTCAAGTTATTGTTTCATATTGCACTGTGATTTCAGGTAAGAATAGATAGCTAGCTCATTCTTCATTTTTATGTGCACTCTTTATTTTGTAAATGCTGTTAATCATATTTGCTGCAATCTAATTTATTTTGATGATGTTGTAGCTGTTTTTAGTTACGTGCGGTTATAACATTGTTTAAACTTCAGTACTGGATCTCTATGGAGAAGACTCGTACAACATTCTTTTTATTTTAATTTTAATTTTAGGGGATGCATTTCCCTGTCTTATACCACATCATCTGCATTTTAGAGTCATATTTCTGCTCATTCACTTGAAGATTATATTTAAAGTGTGAAAACAAAATACCTTTCATCACATTCAAGAAGTTATTTACCTCAAAAATTACCATGTACACGTATGTCAAAAGTTTGGAAGAAGTTATTTCAAAATTACATCAGGCATGTTATGTATTTCTATGTCTATCATTGTACACCATTTCCCCTGCCTGGGAAAATTTCATTATTTTGAAATTTTACAATTTTATTTCTTTGTGTTTTGCTTTTGCTAGTGATATTTTGAATTAGGATATAAATATCTATGTACATGTAAAGTGCAATATAGATTTTACTTAAATGTGGCTTAACTTAAAATGGTTTAGTTGCTTTGTAATGTATTAAGATAGATAGCATTGCTACCTACCAACTTTATCCACTGAACAGGATCATGTTTCCCCAAGTTGGTATAAATGCCATTATTCACTGAGGTTTTTCTTCTTTCTTAATGTGCTACTAGATTCTAGCTACTGAATCATAAAGAATAGATTTTATTTTGGAATTTCTTTAGGCTGTGCTAGACTAATAAAATTCTCCCTCGTAATGATTATGAAAACATCTTCATGTTGATATATCTCTGTATATATCTTTAATGCCATATGAAGATAACTACTTAAGAATGTATATACAGTATGTTTACCATGTACATATCTTGTAAATAATGTATATTTAAATGTCTTTCTATTTTCTTAACTCCAAGCTACATAGAAATGTAATGCATGTGGTAACTCACCTGGACCCTTATTCATAAAACCTGACTCGGCCAAGTTATTAAACTTATGATGTACTGAACTAGTGAACAAGTAGCTTTGACATTTTTTTATGAATAATAGCCCAGAAAATTGAAAGCATCATTGAAGGGAAAAGTTAACCCATTAGGATAAATATATTACATATATTAATGCTTGAAAACACCTGGAGATCACAGAGTTTCAATATAAAAATGTGTAACCCTTGTGAAAGACACTGAAAGTTGCCTTTTAAAACATTCTTTTAAAAAATGAAATAATTCAAGAACATGACTAAGCTCATTATATTGAGATATTATTGGCTTTTTGTACTTTTTTCATGATTTTAAACTAGTATTCAATTTGTCAGCAAATGTTTTCATGTGTATTGACAGTAATGGGTACTTATCACGGAAGAGAAAAAAATGATTGGTTTCTATTTTCAAGCTAGTATGTATGATAGACAGGTTGCGTACAGGGAGAAACAAAGATGTGTACAGATAATGCATGTTCCGAAGGTGCATGTACATGTATTGTAACTTTATCATTGAAGAGATGCCATATTTTCAAATCTGCTGTTATCTTGTTCCTCAAAACAAACAAAAAAGCCAGTTTTCTATTGAAGATTATCAGACAATAATGCTATTTTGTGTAACTGGAAATAATATTTCTCAGAGATGTATTTATTGTTCATATTTTTTCCTTTCCTTTGTTCATGATGAGCTTTCAATATTTTCAGTGTAATCTCGTATTGTTGTATCATGGCTAGGAACCTGTCCCAAAATAGTTGCCTCATTTCATCCTTCTAATTTATTGACAAAAAGGTGAGAATTGCAACTTTGTTTTGCATGACTCAGATGAAGTATCTAACTTTGAAGGGTCAAATGTCATGGGTCAAATAGGGTGACTATTTGGGGACTGTTCCCAGACAATTTACAAATTAGGATCATGAGCATTTGATGAAAAATAAATCATTTTTCTATACTTCAAGTTAAAGTGTGTTTGTATTCTCATTCATAGTGTCAGAGTCGCCCCCTCCCCTCTCTCTCTCTCTCTCTCTCTCTCTCTCTCTCTCTCTCTCTCACCTGTTCTCCCTCTCTTTCTCTCTCATATCGATTTTTGCTCTCTATCTCTCACTCCAAGTCTCTCTTTCAGGCTTTACCATAGCTCTCTTTTCTCAGTCTTTATATCGTTCATCAAGAAAAGTATCTTTGAAAAACAAACGCACACACAAATATTTTTTGTTTAATGATATGATTTATTTCAATGAAAGCTACAATAAATTATTTTTCCAAAATGTTTTTATTTCCAGATTACTTTCGACGTAGATGCAGTTTCTTAGCAACCCATCGCTTGACACGCCTCCATCTACTGGGCCGATGGAGTTTGGTGATTTGACTTTGGATGGTCTCGAGGCTAGGGCGATGGTCAGGATTATCGGCCATGCACTGAGCTCCTAGCTTGGACAGTTCTCGAACCGCGGGAGAACGGTGACCTGCACAAAGAAAGAAATAGAAAATAGAAAAGAAAAGAGGCGTTACAGTATATTTTGCCACTGTTTCTATACTTCATAGTGACTGCTTAATTGAACATCAAAGCTGGATGTGCTTGCAGCCCCTACG